TCACATATAATCTAAATCCAGTCTTAATCAGAATCCAATGCTAACTTGACATTACCGTATCAGCATAGGTGTCCGTCAGTCTGTTTTCTGTTTGTTTTTTTTCCCAAAAATTAGCGTAGAAAACTTATGCATTTTTATATAGGTTAAGAAAAGACGTGATCGTTTCACTTTGACGCTAGCCATCGGCATAAAATTAACAAAAGTTAATCGAAAATTCGGAAATGCAACATTTAGCGGTTGTTGATTGAAAATTCATTAGCACTTTGTAAAAATCCGGCGCTTAAATATTCTCAATCAATTATCTGATAAGGTGGCACATTTATAAGAAGCTCTACGAATTGTTTGTTTGTCATGGTTATGGTTAATCAAAATTTAATTTAAGAACACAATTTTTTTAAATTGTTATTAATAAGCTGTAACGTTACGGTCTTTAGCCATGAAAATTAGATAAACAAATCAAACTGAGCAAGCAATGCATAGCTATGTATGTGTTTGCGCTTGCAAGTAAACAGGGGTCGAGAGCCCATGGAATACAAAAATTCTTTACAGATACGAGAATTTTTTTTAGGCAGGTCCTTTCAGCATACACTTCTCCCTTGGTGCGTATCGGTGTTCTTGCCTTTGTTTGTATTTGTAATTACTTATCCGTTTATCTGTCTGCCTGTCTTTTCAACTGCCTGCCTTTTTCTCGTATTGGGTCAACTTGGTAGTTTTCCCATTCATGAATACGCAAGCTCCCGGATGGGCGCCTGTCTCTTCTCTATTCATTTTTGATATTCTTAAAATTAGAAGAACTATAAGTGAAGCTTAAATATTAATATTTTACTCTCATAATCACTAGCTAAAGAACTAAAATTTCAAATTCTTCTCATCAACAGGTTGCAAATTATATAAAAGATATTGACTTCAAGCTTCTTATGAATATTACATATGCATAGGAGTAATAATATTCATATTTTTACCTTTCCTAGACAGCTCTCAATTAATATTTACTGTTACTTGAATAGATTTTTTTTAATTGTCTCCGGTTTTCAATAAGAACAAGTGCTGGGTTAACATAAACCTTCGAAGACATTATTGAGTGCATTCTTTTTTTACTTGTTGTCGACTTTCTATAACAACAGGTGGCCTGTTCCCCCAAAACTTTCAACGGCATATAATAATGAATGTATTCTTATTCAAATTCAATTCCTTTCATAGGTATTCAGATTCGGTTGTTAAAGTATATACCGAGTGTAAATTGCATTAAAAGCATAGAAGATCTTAAACTTGTACCTAAATTTTATTTGTAAACACAAACGATGGCAGAGCTTCCTCTTATATCAGCCTATCAGAGAGCATAAGTATAGGCGACAATATACGTGTTAAGGATCAAATCAGCCACGATCTGAAATTTATATACAAAAAAGAATGCAAGGGTTATATTAACATGGGGCATGAACCTGAAAATCCTCAGGCAAGTAAGGAAAAGTTTTGAGGCCATTTGTGAATAAAATGGAAAAGTGTCAGTTGCCTTCGCTTGATTTTTCTTAGCGCTCTGTACGCTGTAGTTTACAAAGAAATGCAAACAAAAATATTTTCTGAAAATATATTCCAAAGTTTAGAGAGCATTAGGCAATTTTGGTCACTGTTTTTTATAGTAAAAGTTTCAAATTAATTTTTTTTAGAAAAAGTATTAATCATAAGATCGACAAATTTTAACGTATCGAAAAAATGGCTAAATGCTTAGCAAAGATCCTCATGTTAAAGTGCATTAAAATTTTATGAAAAAAATCAGAGGGTAATTGAAGCAAGCAGCCGTGAAGAGCCAAGTGCTAAGTTCGAAGAATACGATAAAAAGCAAAGCGATTTTAAATTTTCCAATACCAATACCAATCGCTGAACAGTAGCATTTTAAACAGTATCACCCTCCTCTCCCCTAATCAAAATTATCTTTTTATATCATTCTTGAATATTGAAGCAATTATTTAAAGTGATAGAGAACACGAGGTAGTGTTAGCATCCATGAGACCAACTTAAGGCCACATGATAAATGTCTATAAATTTCATTTATATGTCTTTTGGGAACGAAAATAATTTCATTTTTCTTTTTGCAAAATTTCTGCTTATAACTCTATATTCTCTTCTTCTACTTCTTTGTAATCAGCGATATTCAGCCGTCCATCTTTTAGAAGCATTCAAAGCATTAGTTAACCGCTTATGCCTATCCTTATGTTTACGTTTACCAAACATCTCCCAATCTCTCCGATTACTGCTCGTAATGTTCTAAAATGTTAATAAAAAAACTGAAATCCAATACTTAATCTTATAGTTAATTATCATAAATCATTTGTGATAATAGTGCGAAACTTGTCAGCTTAATTTAAAACAAAAAAAGAAAACAAAATTTTGCGTAATGTCAACGAACATGAATGCTAACACACTTATACACAAACTATTTGTAAAACGATCGTAACTCAAATTATTTTTCAAATTTTAAATATTCACATGTAGAAGGACGCGTTGAAACATTCTTTACGTTGACCTGAAAGCACTTATGTCATTAGATTGCTTAGAACTTTGATATCAAATTTGAACTTATTTCGACTGACAGCATGACAGCTCCCATGTTCATTTGCTCACATCGCGCTTATGTTGATCTTAACTTAGGAGCTTTCTTTCGATACAAACGATTTTTTAATTTAGAAAAAAATTTTTTTTTTCTATTAAAGTTTTTTAATATTAATAAAATAATTTTCGTGAAATTTTTCAATAATTTATGATTAGAAAGATTTTAAAGGTGCATGAAAAAAAGGTAGAAAAAATGGTTAATAGTTTTGGAATGAATTTTCATTAACCATAACCTTAACCTTAAGCAAATATGCTTTAGCCGCCTTAGTTGGCTTTGGACAGCTGTGTCGTCCAATGATGTCAAGTAAAAAGGATTAATAAAAACTATTAGCCATGGCTTCTACAAACTTCCTCTTTATTCCGAGTTATTGTGGGGTAACAAGCTTTCGAATTTAATTTGGAAGAAGAATGTAAGCGGAGCAAATTTTTTGCAAACGCGAATACTCTAACCATCTCGACACAGCTTACTTGTGCCTTTTCAAAGCCATATAGTATTTGTAAACCTATAGGGATCTCTAAGGGACCATTTTTTGTTGTACCATGTGAAATAATAAACTTAGTATACTACGCTTCCTTAAGAGCATTAGGTGTAAAAATGCAATCACGAAGTGTGAATTTGCGCAAATGTTTTAAGCCTACGTTTCAAATGGACGCTAATTTCAAAATAATAGCAACTAATCGTGCGGCTCATTAGTGCGTCGTATAAAATCAATAGCACTTTCAGTGCATAGCGTCCATAGACTTATTAATGTGTATTAACAACCGTTCTTGAATGTACTTAAGCCGCAATAATACGCATTCACTTAAAAAAAAAGAAAAAATAATAATAATATTTTATGCCTAAATACTCGCATATATATATAAAATTTGTAGGTCAATTAAAACTTAATGACTGGCAGTCAACAAAGAGAATTGAGAAATCATTTAAATTTATTATGTTTTCTGTTTACAGATTTTTTTTTTTTTGTTTGTTTTTTTTTTTTTAGTTCGTTTACTTCTCAATAAAAGTTCATTCATCTCACACTTACATAATATATTTCTTTGCTCGCCTCTTACATTATTACCTTT